AGAGCACATGTCCTCTTTGCAAGATGGTTATTTCTGGATTTCTTTGAAGAAAACAGCATTTAGCATATGTCACCTTGTATGTATGTCAGAATTCATGCTTTGGAGTATCTTATCCAAGGAGGGGGTAGTTGTTCTGTGTTGTTTTGTTTTCTGCAAAGCTTGAAATACAGTAAGAGGCACGTTTTGTTCTTCAGACACAGGGAAATGTGATGCCTGCCCCAGAGGTTTTGTAGTTCTCATGGCACAATAAGTACCTGGGCTGGGAGATAGGTTGTTTGAAAGCACGTTAACCCATTCTTTAAATTATGTGTATATTTACCAGTTTCCTGTGTGCTGATATGGACTGGCAGAGCTGTGATGCTTCAGTGTGGAACCAGAGGGAGGAGGCAGCAGGCACTGCGGGATGTGTCTTCCTTTGCTTGAGGAACATTCTGGGGTCAGAATGTTCCTCAGAGTCCTGTAAAGTGACTTGAGTGCAGCCTGGTGCAACAAAGGCCACAGAAATCCCCCCGAGTAGCACAGCGGCATATTTTGAGGGATTATCCCTTATCACTCTGGTCCTTTTCCTCTCCAATTAAATCCCCTTTGCGATGCCAGTGCAGCCGTGCCTGACACCAGACACTGTGCAAGCTGGGGAGCACGGAACCTGTGTCACTGCACTGGTCCCACTTGTTGCACCCCTGTCCCTTTGTCGGCTCCCGCTGGCTGAGGGTTCAGAGGTTGTCCTTTTGGTTCCATCCACGCTGGGGCATGGGGCTCCCCCAGCGACCCTGAGTCCCTGGCTGGGTGGGGGGCTGCCCCCCGGTTGGGTTTCTCAGCTCAGGCATCTCCGGCTTGCAGGGGCTGGCTGCCAACAGAGCTCCCCTTGTTTACCCAACTCGGAGGAATCGGTTTACAAGGCTCACAAATACCCTTTTCACCTTTCCCATCAGAAAACACCTCCCGAAACAATGAGGAAATTGGACGCTGCCACCTGATAGCTCCCTAGGAACCTGCAGGGCCAGGAATTTGTGGGGCTGCGGGGCCGGCTGGTGCGCGGGGCTGCACACCCGGGATGCAGCACTGGGAGCCCGGCTGGGTCTGTGGGTGGCAATGCCAGTGCCACCAGCTGATGCTGGTGAGCCCGCTGGGAACGCAAGTGACTCAAGTAGCTGTAGTTAATCTTTCCCACTGTGTCTGACACCAAAAGAAAGGATGCGGAGATGTTTTCCGTGAGCTGGTAACTGGTGGTGGTTACAAATACTCCATGAATCAAAGCAGAAACGTCCTCCTTGTCCCAGGGGGGCCACGTGGGGAGGCTGTATGCTCCATGAGAGGCGCTGGGTTGCAGGGACGGATGGAGCTGAGCTCGAGCCAACCGTGTGGCCGTCAGCCTGCCTGCAGCAGCGCTGCGCTCAGGGGTGACAAAGCCCTTCAGCTGTCTCCTGCGGCTGCGAGGCTCGATCTCATGAAGCACTTGAGATTTCCAGATAAAAAGGAGGCCCAGCTGAGCTGAGCAGAGCACGCTTCCCGATTTGCATCGGCTTTAAGTGCCTGCCGCTGGTTTCGTAGTGACTTGAACGGCTCCAGCCTTTAGACCTGGGAGGTCCTTGGGGAAGAAGCATCCCAGCGCATGCAGCAGCCCGTGCTTCTCCAGCCCAGCAGCAGCTTTGCTTTCTTTCTTGTATATTTGATCCCAGCAAAAGCAGTGTGTGCAGAATGGGCACCTCGCATGCTTGTGCTGGCACCAGTGCAAGATGCAAGAGTGTTCCTGTGGGGTGGTGGGAGAGCAGGGGGGGCAGAGGGTGACAAGGCTGCTTGGTTCTGCTGCCTTTGAAACCATCGTGCTGTGGTTTGCTCAGAAGAGCAGGGCTGGCTGGAGGCTTTGGGTGGCAAAGGTGCTGGGGAAGGCGCTGCAGGCTGTGTGCTGCCCGCTCCCTTCCTACTCCATTCCCACCCCATCCCCGCCGCGGGGTCCACTCATCCCCAGTGCTGGCTGTAGCTGTCTGAGGCTGGGACATAAGTAGGTTATTGCTTTGAGCAACAGCCATCCTCCTTCTCAGTGCTTCACCAGTCTGCCGTATCCTAATTTAAGTTGTCTAATACACTGCATGTCTCGAGCCGCATCCCCGAGTGCTTTATTATGCAGATGTCAGTCACAGTTTCATCCTTAAGGTTGAATTGAATTTGATTCCGCTCCCCACCTTAAAGCAGGGAAATCATCCTCTGTATGGATGAGGAATACAGCAGATCCTCCCCAAAATTACAGTATGTGCTCTTAGGGCTCAATGACTTTCCCTTTTAATTTAAAAGTAATTTGTTCATTCTTTCCAGTTAACATCAATTTGGAGATGTGTCCTTGTAGGGATGAGTCACCTTGTGCCAGGAGTTTGAGCCTTTTTTTTGCCTTCAGAGACCCTTTTCAAGTAAAATTCCTCATGTGCAGAACTTGCTCTAACACTGTCCAAGGGTGACTTCTCCAAATGCTTGGTGCTTTTCTCTTGGCTGTTCTTGTGAGGAACGGTGCTCTTCACCTTTTCCACCCAATGGGAGGATGGCTGCCGCAAGCCAGTGCTTGCAAAACACCTCCAAATTTGAGGGGAAGAGCCTTGATGTATCAATAAGGGTTCAAAGAAACGAGGGAGCTATTTTGTAGGTACTTTCAGGGGTCTCCTATCACTGCTAAGGCTGAAGAGCCTTTTCACTTGGAGGCAGTCCTGCTTTTAGAGAAGAGAAGGAGCACGGCAAGGGGGAAATGGAGGAGAAAACATCTGTGGGGCAGAGCTCCCGGAGCCGTGGGATGACAGTGACAGAGTGCTGCGTGCGGTGACGGTGAATGGTTCTTGGTGCTGGTGTAAAAAGCCTGGAAAATATTCCTGGGCTGATGCCCAGGCAGAAGCTGTGTGCTTCTGAAGTTGAGATGGAGCGTTCGTGTTAAGAAAATTGGTTGTGATTTTTGTCCTTAAAAACAAATACAACAGACGTTTCTGAGTTTTGTGAGATTAGGGTATGCCAACGGGGAGCTGTGTTTGGATGTTCTCAGTGGCGTTCCTTTATCGTCTCTCTCCCTCCCCACGTTTTCCTGTCCTGCTGCGCTCAGAAATTGGCGTGACCCGACCCGGAGCCGCGGGGATGGCATGCGGGCTGTGCTGGCACTGCTGGGAGGTGGATGGGAGCCCTCTGCCCTGGCTCCGGAGTCGCGAGACATCTGCTCGACTTGTTTGCGGCTTCCTGTTTGGCATCTTTTGGGCAGAAGGGAGCTGGCAGAGGCTGAAGGAGGGAATTTGAGTCACTCGGGAGCCCTTTGCCAGAAAACGTCTGACTCAGCCCAACTGCGGAGAAATGAATGTGGGATCCAGCTGCCTCGCAGGGTGGGAACCTGTGAGTGAGCATGCAAGTGTTTACTTGTGTTGCATGTCTGTGGCCTCGAATAGGGTGGGGTTGGTGAGCAAGGGGAGGGAGGGGCAGGGGCTTCTTTGCATCTTTGACTGAACATCTCCTGGGATTGCATCAGGGCACAGGCGATGGGTGGGGGAGGCCTTTATCGCGTGTAATGCTCTGGCTGGGGTCCAGCTGACCTACTTGGTGGCTCACCTGGAGCACCGGCTGCTTTCCACCTTCCTGCGGCAGCCTGGCTAAGAGGGGTGAAACTTCTGCTTTGTTCTGGGGCTCCTGGAGAGCCTTGACCCAGAGGTTGTGGCTTCTAAGAGTCAGAGCTGCTTCTACACAGCTGGTCAAGTGGGGGTGGTCAAGATTGCCCCCCGTTCCTTGTGACCTGCTTGCACTGCTCAGGCTACTGCGTTCTGCTGCCCTCGGAGGGGTGTGAGGGGCTGATGGGTGGTGCAGCCAGCACGCCCAAATCCAGCTCCATGGCTGAGGGCAACATGGATGGAGGGCAGTCACAGCTGCTATCCCCACTTGGCCTCGTGGAGTTGCTCCATGGGCTGACGGTGAGGTGCAGGCAATGCCTGCTGCTTCTGTCCCTCCCAGTCCTGCAGCCGAAACCCGACTCAGGAGCCCTTGCCGAGGGCATCGGGTGTGTGTGGGCTCGGGCTCCGCCTGCCTTCCCTGGCGTGTAAATCTCGTGTAGCGAGAGGCCCACAGCCCGGGCTGCTGCAGCTCTGGTTTCAGCTCTGCGGCCTCTTGCTAAGACTTGCACAGGAGCCACAGAGCAGGTTGGTCCTGTATGTTTGATGCTGTTTCCTTGGTGCCTGGAACCTCAGCCCGCGCCGCTGACGCTGGGAGGAGGCAGCCCATTGCTGTGGCATGGGGCAGGGGCTGCAGGGAGGAGGGGAGCTGTGGATGCGTGCAGCCCGGCGGAGCACAGCTCCGGTTTGCACAGATTACATGAGGGAGTTGCAGCAGAGAGCTTTGCAGGAACATCCATTCCCATGTTATCTTCCATCAGAACGCATCACGTTGCCTACATCAAAGTAGATGCTCTGCTGCTTCCCTCGTTGTTGCCCTAATCCTCTACTTCAGAGTATTGCTCTGCTATAATGAAATCTGAATGTTAATTATCAGCACATTGCCTTCTTTCCCTCCGCAATGCCCTGCCTTCCAGCCCCAAATAGCTTTCCTCCCTCCTTGCTCCTCTCCATCCGGTCCTCCCACGCTCCTGGGCATGCTGCTGAGCCGTGGCAGCGGCCGGGTGGGTAGGAGCTGCCCTGCGAGATGCTTCCCTCCCTACCATGTAAGGACAGGAATTCCTCTGTGAGCGGGGTGGGGAGGGATCCCTCCCCACTGCTCCCTAATTACAGCCGGCCCTGCAGGAAGCTGGCTGCCTTGCCTTGGGGCACACCGCATGGGCAGAGCCCAGCCCGGCTCTGTGGGACGGCAGAATGGTGGGAAGGTTCTGGCCTTGCTGTTGGGAACAGGAGAGCTTCGTGTTGGTGTCAAACAACAAAAAAAAGCAGTTTGTGGAGGGAGGAATTTATGTCCAAAATAAATGGTAGGCTGTGTGCGGGGTGGAACACTGGGTGCGAGTGTTGCTAACGTCTCGTCTTCTCCTCTTCTTTCAGATTCATGAGTGGGAAAGGGTTGGTCATCTACCCAGAGATTGGGGACAAACTGGACATTATCTGCCCCAAGGCGGAGCCGTCCAAGCCTTACGAGTACTACAAGCTGTACCTGGTGAAAAAGGATCAGGCAGATGCCTGCAGCACTGTCATGGACCCCAATGTGCTGGTGACGTGCAACCGGCCCGAGCAGGAGATCCGCTTCACCATCAAGTTTCAGGAGTTCAGCCCCAACTACATGGGCCTGGAGTTCAAGCGGCAGCAGGATTACTTCATCACATGTGAGTCGCCCTCCTCTTCCTCGCTGGGGGCTGCGGGGGCCTGCGGAGTGTCACCAGGCGCTGCTTTGGGACTTGGCTGCTGCTCAGTGCTGACACGCACGGAAAATATTTCCCACTGGATGGGAGAAGGGAGGAATGTGCCAGCCGAGGGGTCCTGGGCCCTTATCTGGCAGCGCCAGGAGCCGGGACGGCCCCTCCAGCAGGGTGAGACCTGCCCACAGCCGGAATGGTTTCTGTGTCTGGAGAGGTTTCGTGGCTGGAGCTTGTTTGTGGAGCCGGGCTGTGAGGCTGGAGCGCTGCAGGGCCGTCCTGTAGGGCACTGCGATGTTGACGATGTGCAAAGTGTCTCAGCCGTCCTTGCTGCCTGCCATAGGAAGCAGCCTGGGGAGTTGCTCCTGGAGCTTGTTATGATCTAAGTGGCTGTAAAATCCTACACGTTGGCCTGTTGTTGTTTCCATCTGTAACGTGGCTTTGTAGAAAGGAGGCTGAGTTTCCTCTGAGCACACAGATGATGTGCACGGGGTGCACCTGTGGGTACCAACCAGCGCATCTCCATCATCCGTGGTGGCTGTGAGCTCGTTGCTGGGGCTGCATTCTCCCCTCCCTCCTGGTGCTGGGCGATGCCTGCCTCCTCACTCACCCTCTGCCCCATGCCCTGGGATTTCTGCTTGGCTGCTCGCATCGCGTGCGAGCCCACAGTGCAGCAGCCAGGAAAGGGCACGGCAGCCCTGCTGCCCCCTGCGCTCACCGTCACGTGCTGCGGGCTCATCGACGAGCAGCCTGGCACAGGGGTCAGCTGAGACTGCAGGCTGGGGGACTGGAGTCGGTCAGAGACGTATTTTTAGCCTGAGCTCTCTGCTGTCAGAGTGGTTGGCCAGGATCCTACAGGCATCCTCCAACTTGGGGCCGTGGGGCAGGAGGTGCCGTGGTGATTCTGCCAGCCTGAGAGCTCCCTGCTGCCCTATCTGGTGTTGGAAATTGCTTTATTTTCACTGCAGCATAATTTCACTAAGCCTGGGACTGAGGAAACAGCCAAATGGGCTCCTGCAGGTCAGATTTCAGCCCACCCTTGGATCCTTAGCATACATTTGCTCAGCTCTCTATAATGCTTGGCTTGAGCACAGGATGGTGCAAAAGGGATTGCAGCAGTTTCTCGCCAGAATGGCCCTTCTGCTCACCTGCTCCCAGTCCCGTGGTGCTACAGCTGGGTGAGGACCTGGTGCAGCAATGAGCTTCTCCTGTTGCATGCACCCCTGGCAGCTCTCTCTTGCAGCAGCAAGCCCACCACCAGGGAGGATAAGTGCATGGGTTTCCTTGTTGCAAACCCTGTGCACCTGGGTGCCAGCACACCTGTCCCCACCATGCCACCTCCTCAGCTGCTTGTGTCTGTGTTGTCTGGCTGCTGGTGTGAAAGCAGTCTCTCTTTTTTTTTAATTATTATTTCTCGTCTTGGTTTTCCTTTCTCCTTATAGAGTTAGAAGACTGCAACTGCATCTTTATTCCACTACCGGAACACTGAACCTTGTCCCACATACAGCAATTTTCTATGTTTGCACTGAAATCTGGTTTCCATCCGAGCGCTGGGGAATCTGAAGGCTGTCACACTCCCACTGCAACCCCCCCCAAGTCCCGGCCCCCGCCCCAGGAGCAGTGCTGGTGCTGCAGTGCCCCCCCGGTGCCCCCTGCCCGTGCGACTCCGACCATTTCTGACTTTAATTTCCCTTGACTGCTCCGTGCTTTGAAGCGAGCCCCGGCGGCGCGGGGGCCGGGCGGCCGCTGTGCGCTGCTCTTTGGCCCCTGGGTGGGCTGGGGATGCTCCTGTGATCTGCCCGTAGCCTCTGCCCAGCAGCCCCAGGAACTCCTTCTGCCAAGAAATAAAATAGCCAAAAAAACAAAGTCAAAAGTCTCCCGAGCAGACCACCCACATGTTGTCTTTTTTTTTTCCTCCTTTTTTTTTTTTTTTTTTTGTTGTATTCTCCTTTCCCCCGGCCTGCCTGCACACACAAAAGGATTTTTCTTCCTTTTCTCCTGCCGGCCCTAAGCCGGGGGATGCAGCACACGGGCGGCTGCAGGACTGTGCCGTCCCAGCCCCGCTGCGAGCGCCCGCCGTCCCATCCCTGCCATTCAGGGCCACCCCCCCGCTCCCCCGCGTCACGTTGGATATGCCAAGCCTCGTTTAGGGCCACTTTTATCACCGAGGGACACTCAGCCCTCGGCTTAGGCTGCTTTAGCGATGAAAAAGGCTTTTGAAAGCAAACGTAACCTCTCCCCATCCTCTCTGCGTCCTTGCGCCGAGCCCCTCAATGCCAGCCGGAGGCTTTCATTAAAAGCATCTTTTCTCCCGCGGCTGGACAGGGGAAGGTGATTCCTCTCCCTAAGCCTTTTCATAAAGAAAAAGATGCAGGAGCTCCTGGCTGTGCGGCGGGGCCGTGCACAAAGGCTCGGCAGGGCTGCAGGACAGGGCGCAGTTTGGGTGTTTGGTGCTTTGCTTCCATTATTGCTCCTTGGCAGATGTGGACTCAGGGCAGCCCATGGGTTCTTGTGTGTTTGGTCCCCTGCTTTTGGGGTCTGGTTGGCACGTGGTGATGGGGAAAGGGGGAGGTTCTCTGCGGTGCAGTCCCTGCTTTGCTCTGTGGGGAGGGTGAATCCAGCAAAAGCAAATTCTCACTTTCTGCCCACTGGGGCTTCCTTTCCCAAGCACAGAGCCCAGCTGGGCAGGCTGCTGGGCAGTCAGGGGAGGGCTTGGGGTGGGTTTTCCCTTCATACCCATGTATGGATGTGGGTGCTGCTGCCTTTCCGAGGGTCAGCAGTGAGGCTGCATTGTGTGTAGGGGGGATTTAGGTCGTGCTGGTGAGGAAGCAGTCACTTGTACATAGCTGCACTGGGAGGGAAGGATGGCTCTGAGTGCTTGCAAACAAACCAGCAGATGCTCTGTGGGTTTACAGGAGCAAAACGCTATAGGAGGTGAGAACTGCAGAGTTGTGCTGTCGCAGAGGTGTTGGTGGGTCCCGGAGATGTCTGTTGCAGGGTCTCAGACCTGGCCATACCTCGTTTCAGCCTTATCTGCTCCAGTTTCCTGTGATTTGTTCTGTTTCTGTGCGTGTCCTCATCCCCTGCCCAGAAGCATCTCTCTGGTTTTTTGGGTGCACCTGCTTCGTGTTCCCCTGTGAGCGCCCTGGGCAGGCTCTTGCCCGACCTGTCCCCCCCCAGGGCGAGCAGTGGGAAGGCAGCTGCTGAATGCCCGTCCTCTGCAGGGTCATTAGCTGAAAGTGCTGAAGTAGAAGGGAGGCCACAGAAGATATGTGCTTCACAAACCAAATGCGTTTGCTGTTGATTGTTGGTCTTTAAGCCCTTCAATCCATTTTTGATGTAATAATGTTTGTAATCCAATCTAACATTTTTGGCAGCAGAATTCAGCAAGACCAGATACATTACACCGGCTGTTCCCTTAAACTCCTCGTCTTGCATTTCTGTTTTTAGATGCAATTAGACCCAACCTGGCAAGAGCTATTGTTGTCAGCCATTGCTGCCTCTGCGATGTGGGTCTCATCCCTGGGCCTTTCTTCCTCAGCACTTTTCTATTTCTATTCTAGATTGAATTTTAATGTGGAGATGAGGGTCACCTGTGTACTGCCAAATGCCAGAATCCTCCTTTTCTTTCTCTCTCTCTTTTTTTTTTTTTTTTTAACTTTTTTTGGGACACATTGCTGTACTTCCTCGTCCCCTATGTGCACAGCTGCAGTGCTGCTGGGGGGGCTGTTTTGGGTGCCCGCCAGCCATGCGCTCTGCTGCGTTCCTGCTGGTCCCATTTGAATGTGGCTGCTTTCATATGCTCCTCATCTCCTGTCCCACAACTCGCTGGGTGAAATCAAGTTGAAAGCAAAAGTGCTGTTTGATGCTGTGATGAGAGCTGTGAACTTCTGCTGATAAAACCCCAATTAACCAACTTCCTCATGCTTCACCCAAATGGGCTGCAGCTGCGCAACCTCCTTGCCCTTGCGACATGGCTGCTGGGACACGCTCTGGGAACTGAGCTGTGGGCATGGGCTCCTCCTCCTTGGCTGGTGGGTCTGGGGGGCCCAGAGCTGTCTCCCATTCTGGGGGGGCCCAGAGCTGTCCCCCAGTTTGGGGGTCCCGGAGCTGTCCAACTTGGATCTGGAAGTCCTGGAGCTGAGGTTCGGTGTGGGGTTCCTGGAGGTCTGTGGGTGATGGGGTAATGGGGGATGTGGGTGATGGAGTAATGGGGGATGCCCCGCTCGGGTCCCTGCGGGAGGTGGCAGTGGTGTGGGGGACGAGCAGGCTCTCGCCGTGCCTGACTCAGAACTTCAAAGCCCCTGCGCTGGACATGTCAAACCCAAATAATGGCCCTTAGACAACACGCGGTTCCTTGTCTCGGAGGCTTGTCTGAAGACCGTGACCACGGTAAATGCGATTTTGTTGAGCCCTGTCCCTTAAGCCTCTGCCTCTTTTCTCTTCTCCTCCTCCCTCCTGACCTTTTCGGCTCAGCGCTGTCCCCGCGCAGCCCCTGGCAGCTGATCTCATGGCTCAGCCTTTCACGGCGCTAATAGGGATGAAAAGCCCCATCAGAAAGGGCCCGCGTCCCCGCGCCCGGCCGGGAGGGCAGTGCCCAGCACTTTGATCTGCTGCTGCCTGCTGTGCCCCGTTGGAGAGCCCAGCTCCCTGCCAGCAGCACGGGGGGGTCCTTGGGATGAAGCGCAGCATTGCCAAGAGGGACCCTGTCCTCAGCAGTGCTTTCTCCATAGCACAGGGAAAACCGAAGCGTGGCTGCTTTGGGAGCGAGTTTTTACCAAGGCACTTGAAAGGCTGCAGGAGCCTTCAGCTTGAGGATGGCTTGTAACAAGCTCCCAGCGTGTGGGCACGCCTGGGGGTGTGCAGCAGATAAGCACAGGCAGCCGAAGCGCCACGCTTTGTTTTAAATCCCTGCTGCTCCCCGAGCCCCTCGTGCTGCTTTTCCTTTTGCTGCCTGTGCACCCACAGTG